ACTGGCCTTAGCCACTGCTGACATTGCACATTGTTGCATAGTTTGTTGTCTATAACAATTCCCAAGTCCTTCTCATGTGTGGTTCTCTAATTCGCTTCCATTAAGGGTATAAGTTCTTGATACAGAAGTGCATAACTTTGCATTTTTCTACATTACATTTCTTCTGCCATTTGAGTGCCCAGTCCCCCAGTCTATCTAAATCCCTCTGCAGCAAAGTAATATCTTGCTCACATTGTATTACTTTAGAGAGTTTTGTGTCATCTGCAAACACTGAAACATGACTTTCAATGCTTTTTTCAAGATCATTTATAAACATGTAAAATAGAAGGGGTCCCAAAACAGAACACTGAGTGACACCACTTGCCACCTCTGTCCAGCTTGAAAATGTACCATTAATGAGAACTCTCTGTACGCTATTTTTAAACCAATGTTCTACCCAAGAACAAGAATTGTCTTCTAGGCCGATAATCTATTGTGTGGAACTGTATCAAACGCCTTTGCAAAATTCAAATAGATCACATCCATTGCAACACCCTGATCTATACTTCTACTTAGTTCTTCGTAGAATGCAATCAGGATAGTTTGACATGACCTGTGCTTTTTATTAACCTTTTTATTGCTGGTTATCAGTGAGAGCATAAGGAAAATAAAAACATTTCCCAGGAGATGTGCATGGCTTTCTTTCTTTTGAAGTATAATGCAAATACAATGGATTTTTTGTTGTTGCAGGTTTATACAGAGCAGTAGGAGTGTTAGCTTGAGCAGCAATTGGTATGATAACAGTACAGTATTTCCCAGCCAAATACACATAACATAAAAATGTATCATTAGCTTTCATTAAATATAATATAATAAACGTTTAAAAAATGACAATTGTCCTTTAAGGCTGTGCGTATAAGAAAAATCATGGCCACAAGTCACAACAGGCTGAGTACTAAGCAAAAAAAGGGAAGTTGTTAATAAAAAAAGATTTAATAAAACCACAAACAAAAACAAAGAAATAACGTCTCAAATTAATTCTTTATTTTAAAATAATTAGGGCGGATAGAGAATTGTCTTCTATACACCACTCAAAACTGGTAAAACCGTCCGAAGATCCACAGTAACATATATAAAAACAGCACAAAGAATATATTTGAAGTCTACTAGGAGCTAGTATCTAGAAAGAATTAAAAAAAATCAAGCAATGGCTACCTAAATCGCAGTATGTAGTACACCTATAGCTCAGTATTCTGGGATATGTGAAGAAATGTTGTACACCACAGTCCATTCAAATGATTCCACAATATTAAACAGTGTAACTATTTAGCTACAATATATCGACAAAATTGGCAGACCCTTGCTATTTGCAAACTGGAGTCACCAGGGATTGACTGTTTTATGTTTTTATTGACTATCATAGGAATCAAAATATCATATAGTACATTATTCCTTTATGTTCCAGTGAGATATCAGACCACTAAAGTAAGTCTTATACTAAACATAGCTGCAGTTATGCAGTTCTGCAGGAAAGAAAAAAGCAGATGTGTAGTGCGCTCTGTTTAAAAATGTATTTATATTAACAAGAAAGATTAAAAGCACTCACAAGACTCCTTAAGTAAGTATGTGTGACAGATTCATCTGTATTGCTGGTTTGTCTGTTACCCTTTGTTTTCGCTGGATTTCCTGTCCGTATGCCCCTGTTCGTGTGATTACAAAATACCGATTGAAACTACTGAACGAACGACCACCCAGGAGAGGAGTGTGCTGCTGGTTAACCTCTTGGCCCCAATTAGAACGTTGTGGTTAACCGCAGACACCTCTCCATTCCATTCGTACGGGTGGTCGTCGTTCGCATGCCGACCATGAGGCGGCGGCCATTTTGGGACACGAGGAAGCGTAGCGGTGTTCGGTACAAATTCTATGGAACTAAAAACGGACACTTTAATCTACCGAACACCGCTGGAAACTGCTGCCCACCTTCTATTTCGGCGAGGCGCACGAACGCCGGTCTGTTTGGGAGTTTTATACATTCGTATGGACCTTTACCCAGAAAGCCGTCCCATGGAGTCATTCGTATACCGAAGGACTGGTGAAAGACTTTGACTTCATGGCGATTTGACTAGATATATCGGATCTGAGCGCTATTCGGTAGAAATATGCACTCAGATCCAGGCTGTCTGGGGATACGTTACACGAACTATATTCAATCGGTATTTCTTCAGTTATATATTTTAATGTATTTTTCTTACTGTATTTTAAAATGGCGATTGTCTCTATCCTGGGAGATAATTAGGTTTCTTCCTAATTATCTCCGGGGTAGAGAAGAAGGGTTTATGGGTAAGATGGGAAGGGCTTATATTGAAGCCACTGCGATTGGCTACTGTCCAATATGTTTTACAGTCTTCCACAAGGTCCCCTCGGGGAGTGTCCACCTTGTGGAGACCTGCATAAATACCGGGCAGGTAGCCCCCATTAAACAGATCCTTATTTGACCCTCAAGACGGAGCTTGGTCTCGTTTGTGGGGGAATTATTACTGGGACAGCGCTTTCGTTATTTCTAGCTGTGGAAGGCATTCGACTGTTTTGCTGATCGGGAGTTGCCGTGTTCGTGAACTTCGTTCGGGAGTTTGGCGGTCGGCTGGATAGAAACTGCATTTCTGGTAAGGGGGATTATTCACTAAATGGCGGCTTCATCTACCTGGCGGTGAGTGTCGTAACAGTATGCCTGTCAGGGAAATGCAAAAAACACAAGAGTATAATGCACACACTAAAAAAGGGGGAATATTTCCTGCAGGGTGCTCCAGAAAGGGAGGGACATCAAATGATAGAAAAGAAATATCCAGGCATACCTGAAGTTTCTTATAAAAGGTACACTTTTTATTTGAAACAAGAAAGTGGAGACAACTTTTTGGCTCCTCTCTGAGCCTTTATCAAGAACTCAAGTGAACAACTATATTAAGACAGAATAAAAAAAGCATGTTACTGGGCCTTAATGCTGTATAGAATAGTGTAAGACAGACCAAGATCATGGAGACAGAGAGGAATGTAAAATGAGTAGAAGAGCCAAAGCTCGTGACAATAGAATGGAGAACGGTCAAGATACAAGCCTGGGTCAGATAACGTAAATACAACTATAGAAAACATGCAATATTAGCTTAAATAGCCCTAGGAAGGCAGTGATTGGCTGGTTGCGGTCATGTGCGTCTTTACTTGAGCCTGGGAAGAATGTTGGTGGAGAGCCCCGCTGCAGAGAATGTAGACGCAAGTGGCATTATGGGTTAGGCGATGTCCTAGGAATGCGCCGTACAGGAGCAGAAGTGTTAGTGTGTGAGTATATGGAGTATATTTACTTTTTATGTAGCGTTTTGATACACACATTTCTGTAAAAATGTAAGTTTTTCAGTGTGTGTGTGTATTTTTTTTTTTAAATTACATTTATTTTTTGAAAGGATAAATCAATACATATCAACACATATCAATATATATCAGTGCATATCAGTACATGCTCTCATGTTTAAAGTGTAGAATATACAATGCTTGTTCATAACTTTATATACGTTATTCCATTCATCTTTACTCAAAGTACCATTCCTTATTGTAATTGAAATTGGTGTGACAGGTTTTCTACACCTTATATATTCCATCCAGTGGACATTGCATACTAGTGTGTGTCCTACATAGAGCAAGAACCCTGAATCATAGTATCTGTACTTTTACGTCTTTTGGTATGTGCTATAGTCCTTGAGTAGGTTTGTTTTATCGCTATGGACTCTGCATTTGGCTTAGTCTATGGGAGCCTGAGAGTCATGTTTACAACGATCACATTTATAACATCTATCACCAGGCTCGTCGTGAGATATAGTGCCTTCCCTGAACCTTGATTTAGGTATATGGTGTCTTGGCTCGGCTGGGTGCTTCTGAGGTTGTCTTGATGGGGGCCTTCGGACCCTTCAATTATGTCAGTACCTCAGAGGGAGCTTGCTAATCAATAGAGCCGGAGAGTCGTTGTGGTGTTCCTTTCATGTAGTGTCTCCATGGTAGCCAAATGGCTGTGTATCTATTGTACTTGTTTATGAAAAGTATTCCATTTTAGTGTACCAGTCCCTCCTAGAGGGGTGTGCCGTCGATTTTCATAGGCTCACTACTATTGACTTGGCTGCTGTCAGCTTGAAGTATAATAGGGAGTGCTTGAGCTGTGTGCGCGGTAGTTTAATGTGGAGAAAAATAAGTGTCTCGGGGTCGTGTGGAATGTTTACTTTCGTCACTGTGTTAACGGTATTCCATACTTCTTTCCAGAAGCCCAAAATCAGTTTACAGGACCACCAATTGTGTTGAAAGGTTCCCCTGGCTTCGCCACAACGCCAACAATTGGGAGTTGAGGTTGGGTCATATCTATGGATATCTACTGGGGTGGTGTACCAGTGTGAGACAAACGTATAGTTCATTTCCTGCAGAGGGATGCTGAAGTGGCAATGAAAGATTGTTTTAAAGATAGTGATCCACTCCTTCTCACTCGTGTGTGTGTATTAGTGTGGGATTTATATACTTGTTGGGAAAGCAACAATGCTAAATACACCACATTACATAGTGGCAATTAACAATGGGGAGACATATTTATTTCACTGTGACTCTGGAAGCATAAACCCTACATAAGTTAATAATACAATGTACCACTAGTTAGTGTTTCAATGTAGTTTGCTGCCAATATTCACATTTCAATAACTTCCAAAGTGAATGTCCAGCACCCATTTTGCAGTAAAACTGTCATTCTGTTGGTAAATGTAAGTAGGCAGAGCAGCAGAGACATATTCCTCATATAGACAAATATATATTTTGTCTAACTCGCTCCTACATGCTCCCCCAGTACAGAACCATTCCTTTCTGTACTTATTAGAGCACTTTTATCTCATGTAAAATGTAAATGTAGCAGTCTAAAATAAATAAATGTGTGAGTGCTTTCACATACAGACAATGATGAAACTGTGTGTGCTGCCCCCCTCGCTCCCTAAGCCGTGGATGGCGTCTCACTCCAGCTGGATGAATAGTACGTGTGTGTGTGTGTGTGTGCATTAAGTTGTCCAGAACTCCTCTCCCAGCCAGAACCCCAAAACTCAGCCAACAAGCCAGCAAGGCATGAGCTCACAGGGGGAGCAGATCGGTATGGAGGTGAGTGTGGACCTGGGGCCTGGAGGATGATAACCCTCTTTTCACTGCCCTTTCTACTTACGGTGTCTAGAGTCCCTGAGTAGAATATTCAATTTCAGCCTGTAAGTCTCTCTTAAGCTTGGTATTTAGAAGATAGTGAGTGTCTGGTTTCCATCGCAGGATAATCCCTGCAGAGATAGACCCTAAGAACTCACCATCTCAGATCAGAAACTTCAGAAACTCTGCTTCTTCATATCACCCACACAGAATAATAATCTGATTTGCACAGTGTTACGTCTGTTTTTTAAATTCACTGTTCGCTGTGGAAAAAAAATATTATTCTGGCAATCAGTTTTGTAATCTGCCTTCTCCTTTATAATGACCGACGACGGCTCTCTGTTGCTCTATGATTTATTTATTTTTTTGGACATATAGAGTTAAAGTTTTAAAATATGTGGTATGTTAATAATTTCCTTTTCCCATAAATAGCAGTAGAACTTTTTTTTGTTGCGGTATTTTCCATGCTTGACCCTGTAGTTTTCCTCTGTTTCTATAAAGTTTCCTCTATGTTTTCACTTACTATTAATTCCAGGCACTTCTCTTCTCAATTCTTTCTCTGAGCTTTTTATTTTTATACAGTTCCTCCCTCTGTCTCCAGCTCAGAGCTGGTTGCGTGTCAATACTAAAACATAATACTGTTCCACAAACCATTCTCTCTCTCCCTCACGCTTTCTCTCTCGACGGACTGAGAGCAATCGGGGCAAACTTTGGCCAATATATAGAAATATACTTGGATTTATTCACTAACGAGTGCATTACAGTGAATTGAAAGCTAAATTACTGATTTTGAAAAATGTACCACTCTAGATAATTTTTTTTTATTTTAGTCTGAATTTTGCTATTCCATTTTCAGTTTATTCTTTAGTGAATAAACATTAAAGCTGTTTAGCAATAAATACTAGACGATTGACAACGAAGTGAAAATTGAATATCAAAATAGCCGAGCTGGGAAATTACCTGAGTCACAGATTTTCCAACTTGGTTAATTTAATCTACAAAGTGTGATCCCCATGTCACATTGTCACAATTACCTGAATAAAGGTGTATGTATATGTATTTACCGTATATGCGTGCATATATTGTGGATATACATGTCTTGTTTGAATACATGTTTGAGTGAGTAATATATTTGTGGATGCATGTGTTTATTTTCATATATTGTCAATATGAATGTATATGTGAATATGTAGTACCAGTATGTGTGAAATAATTTGAATGTGTAAATGCAGGGATGTTTTATGTATTGGGAAGTCTGTGGATGCATATCTATAAGTATGTGTACATATGTGTATATCTGTCACGGCTCTCGGCTGTTCTGTCGGCGTGGCCTCACGTAAACCACGCCGACAGAATGGTTTCAAACTTACCTTGGTCACAGCGGGCAGCTGCCCGGTTTCCCTCCATTCCGGTCCCCAGCAGGTGCGTAATTCTTAGGAACGCCAGCCGCTGCGGATCAGGATTTTACAATAAACGTACCTTCGCCCACATTAAAGATGGTGCCAACATGCGTGCGACGTCACGTCAGACATGCATGCAAGTTTTAGGGTCAGAGGTCAGAGACAGCCAATTACAGCCTATAGAGGGTTATTTAAACCCAAATGACCTTTTTGCCAGTGCCCTGACGTGGTTTCCACTAGCTGGTTATCCGAGAGTGTGTTCCTGATCGTGTTTTTTCTGGTATTTGACTTTGGCTTTGTTTTGACTTTCATGATTTCTGGTATCCTTGACTTCTGGCTTTCTTCATCGTTGTGTCTCATTCTGTGTCCCTGACCTCGGCAAGTATTTTGACTATTCTCTGGTACGTTAAGTCTGGCCATTCTAAGGTCCAGTTAGACATTATCCTTAGTCTTTAGGTGTTATACAATTCTGCATGCTGGATTAACTATAATCCTGACATTACGACATGGCCATAGATCCTGCAGATTAGTGTCAGCACATAGCAGCTTGCGAGAGAAAGCTAGAGGAAAATGATCATTGTATGGATCAATTTACCCAGGTTTTGAATATGCTCCTAATACTCATTTACAGCCTAAAGTTCCTCTGGAAGTTACACCTTTGGTACTACCCAAAGTAGATTTCTCCTTAGTGTTGCTGTTCAATTCGTGTAACACCCTGATTGACTTCAGCGCTGCAGAAAACTTTATCAATACACAATTTGCCAGTAAACACTTCCTACCCATCAAGGAGAGAAAATCACCCCTGGTCGTCAAGGCCATTGATGGGAGACCACTCTCTCTGCCTTTAATTACCCATGAAACACTACCTATCACTACCACGATAGGAGTATTACACAAAGAACTCATCACATTTCAGATAATTGCGTTCCCTTCTTGTCCCATTATACTTGCATTCCCATGGCTTGTTAAGCATGACCCCGGTGTTGATTTGGCTAAAGGGGAATGGAATGGGGTAAAGAATGTAAAGAGAGATGTATGTTACCTATTACTAAAAGAGTGGGTATCGTTAATCTACCTACTCCTACGCCTCAGTCTACCGAAATTATAGGAAGGTTAAAGAAGTGTTTAATAAAAGTCACACTGATACGCTAGCCCCTCACAGATCCTATGATTGCTCCATAGATCTGTTACCCGGTACTATGCCCCCTAAATGGGGATATTTCAGGATCTCATTATTGATGTTCTCCGAGACTACATTTATACTTTCGTATTGGTGTATCTGGATGATATACTCATTTATTCCCCCAATATCCAGACTCATCATGGGCATGTTAAACAAGTGTTGCAAACTTTGCTAAAAAACGGGCAATATTGCAATCTTGACAAATGTCTATTTGACCAGACGGAAGTTCAGTTCTTGGGATATAATATCTCGACCTCCGGTTTTCAAATGGACCCACGTAAACTAGAAGCAGTTCTATTATTGGCCATTACCCAATGGGTTAAAAGCCATTCAAAGGTTTATTGGGTTTGCAAATTACTATAGGAGATTCATGAAAGGTTTCTCTGCTGTGATAGCCCCCATCACCAATATCACACGTAAGGGGGTTAACTGTGATATGGTCTAAAGAAGCTAAAGAAGTTTTTGAGCTACTTAAAGGACCACTATAGTGCCAGGAAAACATACTCATTTTCCTGGCACTATAGTGCCCTGAGGGTGCCCCCACCCACAGGGTGCCCCTCCCGCCGGGCTCTGGTGCTTATGGTGCTCGCAAGTACTAGGAAGCAGCGATTGACGGAGGTACCTGGTCGGGGTGCCAGGCGGTCCATCACACTCCCTATACCCAGTGCTCCATGGTCTCACTTGTCTAAGGACTTTATTGTGGAACTCCCAAATTCTAAAGGCTATAACACCATCCTAATGATTGTTGACCGCTTTTCTAAAATGACACACTTTGTTCTGCTCAAAAATATACTTTTTTCCCAAGAGCTGGCTCATATATTTATATGCAAAATAGTCAGATTACATGGCATTCCGCTAAATATTGTGTAGGATAGGGGTTCCCAATTTGTGTCACGATTTTGGAGAGCATTTTTTTAATAACATTTGGGTATAGAATTATAATTTTCCTCTTCATACCATCCTCAAACCAATGGTGCGGCTGAGCGTGCCAGTCAATCGTTGGAACAATATTTGAGATGTTTTATTAATGGCACTCAAGAAAACTGGTCTTATTTGTTACCATGGGCCAAATTCGACTGAAATAATGCTACCCATGACTCATCTGGACATAGTCCATATTTTGTTAACAACGGTCGTCATCCTACGGTTTTCTCTGACACTGCTATTCCCACTCTGGATGACCATCTCACATGTATCCGTGAGCCTTGGACTAAGGTCCACACGGCTTGGGAATCAGCTACGGCTCCTTTCAAACTGCAAGCTGACAAGAGGCGGGGTGCCAACCCTGTTTACCAGGTGGGTGACCGGGTATGGCTCTCCACAAGGAATATTAAACTCAAAGTCCCTAGCATGAAGTTTGCACCCAGGTTTATGGGTCCCTTTTTGTGGCAGTTACCCCGAGAGGATGAGGGGTTTGGCCGCCTGAACGGTTCTGTTCCCCCTGTCCAGAGTGATGCTTTCTGATTTCGCAGTATAGTATAGCTCTGACAAGAGCTGAGTGATTATAGCTGGTCCCTACAATAATGAGATGAGACTCTATGATGAGGGTAAGCAAACAATGATTTTAATGGTGCCACACTGGCCTTTTATACAAGGGATACTCCAACGTGGATCTTGTGTGGAAGAGACAAGATAATGACCATATGTCAATGTCAATGATGTTCAAACGTATGACACTCCCATTACAAGCATACAATCCCTCCTCTCTGCCTTGGAGATAATTAAGTCAGATACTGTATTAACTTAATTATCCCCAGGCAGAAAAAACACATTTTTATAAAACCCCAAAAGTACCACAAAACACGTAAAATCCACACAATTATTACATCCCCTTTTAGCTCTGCTCTGGGTGACCAACATATCCACAAATCACCCAGGTCAGTTCAGGGGTTACACAATTCTATGGAAGTCTTATATTGACTGACCGCATGCATGATTTCATGCCCAAAACAGTTGCAGAGAATCAGGCTGTGCAGCCAATCTACTTTGAGGATTTGAAATAACTTTTGAAATACCGAACGTATGAATATAGTCAGTGCATGTCTCTTGGTCGGGAGTTTCTTCTTACCGAACGATGTTCGATTCCCGTTCGAATAGCCGAACCTCCATGGAAGGTAAAAGTTTAGCGGTGTTCGTGCCGTTGAGTGTCCGATTTGAGTTCCATGCACTCAAAGACCAAACACCACTGTGTCAGGAATGAACTGAGATCCAACACGCATAATGTAGATAAGTAGTAACGTATACCAGACTTTAGAATGGCAGGACTAACGTATAAGCACAAGGGTATGAATTTCCTTGGTTATGCAAACTGATTGTTGCAGCAGCTGTTCCTGGTGGCTGGTCTTAGACGATCTTGGAGGTGAAGATGCATGATGTGGAGGTCCTGGGCTGGTGTGGTTACACGTGTCTGCGGTTGTGAGGCCAGTTGGATGTACTGACAAATTCTCTGAAACGCCTTTGGAGGCGGCGTATGGTAGAAAAA